ACAACACACACTTAGGCACGTGAGCCATCCAACCCAGTACGATGTCCACACTCATTTATTCATTCATTCATTCATTCACTCGCTCATTCATCCAGTCCACCCATCCATACCAGCTCGGTCGGTGCTACGGTCTGGCTTCTGACCTGCTGCTGGACCCACATTGCAAGCGTCAACGAGCCCGGACAATAGCACCCACGAGTGTGGCGTAGTCGTCATGCCCAATGAAGGCCCGGATTCTTCGTTGATCTGCCGGCGCTTCTCGCTGCGGTTCCCGCAGTGTCCCTGCGACACATTGGGGAGGGCGACCAGCAAGGCCATGACGAGTGCAGATCTTTCTCCAGCGAGCGCCTGAGATAAATGCGCACACACAACCACACACTCAGCTGAGTACTGCACGGTTTCCATCCATCAGTGTACCCCTCTTCGGCTGTCCACTGTACAGCACAGAGAAGTCCATTCATCCTGTAGAGTGACGCGGCAGTACACTGACCTGCAGAACTCACAAGAGACGGCACACAAAGGGAAAGAGAACTGAATCGCTGACTGCAGATCTTTGTGCAGCTCGCTAGTGTGTGGCGCAGGGGGGTGATGGTGAGGTGGATCTCTCTCTTTTTCGTGGTTTTTGAGTCGTGTGCGTGTTATACGGCGCCTGCCCTAACGCCCAATCCCTGCTCGGATCGCGCAACGGAGGAGAGAGAGACGAAGAAAGGGAGCAGAGAGGCAGCAGAGAGGCACACAGTAAGGCGACCAACACGCAAGGCCTCTCACTGCCTCTCAGCTGACATTTCTCTCTCTCTGTTCTCTGATACCGCCGTGATTTGGCTGCCCAGCTCACTACACAGCGGATCTGCAACACGGCCTTCGAACATCGCGTCTATTCGCACGGCTCACAGGCATGAGGCCGCCCACGTCTGTGAGCGCCCCTCCTCCCGCCACGGCTGATCCCTCAGACGTCCTCAGACAATCAGCTTCTGAATTGGACGTCTCGATGAAAAGGCCAGCGGAGTCACCGGAGCATCAATCGGAGGCTCAAGGAGATGGCGAAGGCGGCGCTCGGCTCTCAGACATTCCCACCACCGTCTCGACATCGGTCTCCACCCCTGCAGTGGACGGCCGGGCTCACACACCTGGCGACGGGGATGCTTCGGCTGAGGAGGGCGATCTGTGGGGCTTTCTGGTGCTGCGGATTGGCTGTGTGACCTTGTGGCTGACGGACTACCCTCTGAGGCATTTCCTTCTCATCATCGGTCTCGTCCTGATCTATGCAGTCTGGTGGTGGGGGGGCGAAATCCTTCTCCCTATCCTTGGAGGAGAGCCTTCTTTCATGGCAAATGGGGGTACGGATATTGGGATTTTGGCACCGCCCTTTCTGATGCTCCTCGTTGGATTGGGAAGTCTGTTTGCACCGCCTCTCTGGTGGGGCACTCGATGGCTCATCTATTTCTCTATCGTTCTGACAATCGTCGCAGCCGGGAGCGTGTGGTTGGGTATGGTTCCTGTGGTGGGCCTGCGCCACGGCATACTGGCATGGGCGGCTGGTGGGATCCTCCTGCAGTTCACCCTCTTCGTTGTCTTGTCGGAGCCGAGGCTTATCCGTGCATCGACCAACCCGACGGGTGGAAAGGAAATCGACGGCGATCACAACCGGCTCTCGTGCTGCGGCCGTCGGGCAGGGTGGAGACCCTCGCCGACGGCCGAGCGCATAGCCAAGGCTCGACAAACAGAGCCCTTCCTCTACCGCTCGGTGGTCAAGCGGTGGCTCAAACGGATGGACTATCTCCCTTTCATTCGGTTGTATAAACTGCTGGCCGTTGTGGGGATGGCAATGGACTTCGTCACCGATGCTGCAGTGGGTTGGGAATGTTTCAGCTGGATTCGAGAAAGTGTAAGGGATCGTGCAGGGCTATGGTATCGTGCAGAGTCCATTTGTGGGATCACCCTTGATCAGCGGCCGTGGAGTGCTGATGGTTGGGAGTGCTTTCTGGGATCACTTTTTTCGCTTGCAAGTTCCATTTGCGGGATCACCAATGAGGAGTGGATGTGGAGTGATGATGATAAGGAGTGCCATGTTACTACATTCATCCGTCTTTATAGAGAAGCACAAGGCTATTTTGTTGTCGGCTTTGTCATCATGGTCCTATCGCTGGCTGACTTCGTGTCGCTGTTCATTCACTATGGCATCCGTGGCTTTCCATCGCTATGCCAACACATCTGGATTGTGGCCTTTGCCCTGCTCGAAGTGCCCATCTTGGTGCTGACGATCGTGTGGGCGACGGTGGCCATCAACCCGATAATCTTTGTCGTGTCTGCCTTCTTCACTCTGGTGACGGTTTCGTGGCGAATCGGGTCGTTTGTGTGGAGCATCTATATGCGGCGGAAAAACGGGACGTCCGCGACCAATACACACCACAAGGTGATGAGAAGAAGGGCGAGTGGGAGACGAGAGTGAAGCCAACAACAGACGTCATCGTGTGCATGTTTGATGTCAGGGAGGGCCATTGGTCGTATGACTGACGGCACGCTGTTGGGCACTTGTGTGTGCAGTGCACCTGGGGAGTTGTGGATTGACAAGTGAAGTGGCTGGCGGCTCATTTCCCCCCCCGGCAATCGGACAGGGCGGGAGGGAGGGACCCAAACGATCGGTGGATTCCACCGCCAGCCGCAGGACTGGACCGACTTGTGCCCGGGTCCATGCATGGCAGTCACATGTTCGTTTGCGTTTTGCAGCAAAGGTGTGTAGTTTCATGCCTTTCGGTTGCTTAGTCTTTCTTGCCTTGAGGATCTTTCTCTTCTTCTGCTCGTCGACATGTGATGTGTGTCATTACGTTCGTGTGATCTACTTCTTCGGTTTGGTGTGTGCTGTGGATCCCCGATGGCTCGCTGAATGGACGGATGGATGGCATGACGCATGGATCTTGTCGTGGTGTGTGTCCTGTTGAAAGCGATTGGATGACTGGATGGATGGATGGATGGATGGATGCCCCCCTGAGAGTGTGTGAATGTGTGAGTGTGTCTTATGAACGTGCGTGTCTCAGTCGTCTATGCAGTGCATCCATCCATCCGCCGTCCGTCCGTCCGTCCGTCTGTGTCGTGTGTGTGATTAACGGCCTCTTGTCTCCCCCTCCCTGTCTCTCCGTTTGCCTTGATCTTGAGCTATTCTGTAGACTACCAACTGACATGGGTTCGCCATTCGTCGTTTCCACTAGGTTGCACCCTTCACCCATGCCTTCACCCTTTCACCACTGATCACCTCAATACCTCCACTGCAGCACACTCACTTTGCACACACCAACACCAGCCACTCAAAGTCGGCAAGCATGACGCCCCTAACACCAGCAGCCGTGTATGCCATACTGACAAACTGGATGTGTGTCTGTCTTATCTATCTCGATATTGCTGTGGGTGCTGGCTGCGTGGGCTGACGAACGGGATGTGCGTACGATGGATGCCATGCTTTGACTGACTGACTGACCGGATGGACGCGTGTGTGACGTCATGTGTGTGAACGAGACAATGAAGACGATAGATGGCGTGTGTCCGCACGCACACACGCCATTTCAAGGGCTGCAGGGCCTCCCTGTGAGTCTGGAGGTCTCTGTGTGTCTGTACCATTCATCCATCCATCCACCAATCCTGCCTGCGTGCCTGGTCTTCTGCCTGCCTGTGGGTGTACTGGTGTGTCCCTTCTATTGCATCGGCGGCGTCACTGAATAGAGGCAGCCACCCATGGACGGACGAGAGAGGTCAGTCATGAAAGCATGAACCGAGAAAGTGGATACACACACGAAGGGGTGGTGGGTGGGTGGAGGCCCCTCCGTGTGTGTGAGGGTGTGAGTGCGTGGTGTGTTGGTTGGTGCGGGGACGGATGGATGGATGGATGTGAGAAAGAAGAAGGTCTTTGCTGTCTGCTCTCCTCCCTCTCTCTCACTTCCACGCACTGCCTTTTGATGTGTCTGTGTGTGTGGCTGGTGGGCGTGTGGTGGCATTTAAACGCATGTATAGCTGTGTGGGTGTGGCGTGCACTCTCTCTCTCTCTCTCTCTCTCCAAAATACACACAACAGAGGGATGCTTGAAGAAATGAGTCGGCAGTGACAACCACTGCAGGCAATTAAGAGAAGAGGTACAGGAAACACCCAACGCAGGCAGGTCGGGAGGTGACATCTGGCCAGCACCGCATTCACTGTCGCCTCTCTGCCATATATCATGGCCTCTGTTGTCGTCATACAACACACACTTAGGCACGTGAGCCATCCAACCCAGTACGATGTCCACACTCATTTATTCATTCATTCATTCACTCGCTCATACATCCAGTCCACCCATCCATACCAGCTCGGTCGGTGCTACGGTCTGGCTTCTGACCTGCTGCTGGACCCACATTGCAAGCGTCAACGAGCCAGAGCCACCCAGAGAGTCAAGGACAATAGCACCCACGAGTGTGACGTAGGCGTTGATCTGCCGGCGCTTCTCGCTGCGGTTGCCCCAGTGGCCGGGCGACATATTGGGGGAGTCAGAGGGCGACCAACAAGGCCATGACGAGTGCAGATCTTTCTCCAGTGAGTGCCTGAGATAGATGTGCACACACAGGCACACACTCAATCGAGTATTGCATGGTTTCCATCAGTGTACCACGGTGGTGAAGAGAGCAGAGTAGCCCTCTTCCGCTGTGCACTGTGCAGCCATAGAGAAGTCCATTCATTCTGCAGAGTGACGCGGCAGTACCCATGGGGCAGTACACTGACCTGCAGAACTCACAAGAGATGGCACACAAAGGGACAGAGAAATGAATCGCTGACGGCAGATCTTTGTGCAGCTCGCTAGTGTGTGGTGCAGGGGGGTGATGGCAGGTGGTTGGTTGGTTGTGTTTAACGAGACTCGTGTCTGTAACCCCGAGGGGATCCTGTCCAGGTCACGCACTAAACTAGCAGCATGCACATGCATAGTGTCAGGATTGCCAGCTTGGCAAGACGAACCACTGCGAGCTTGTGAACTAGGGTAGATTGCTGTGTAACGGAGAGAGAGAGGAGAAGACAAGGAAAGCATTCTGAGGAGGCACGATCTTATCAGCCATCACCGAAGTGAGATCTGTGTTGACCACCCTTCATGATGCCATACATGGACAGAAACAACTTTG